GCTGCAACTCGCAGACAGCTTCAAGTGGTGCAGAATTTCAAGGAGAATTTTGGTGAAAAGAAAAAGAGAGAGAAATGTAATTCCTTGGTATCTTGATATGGAATTTTCTATCATCTCACCTTCCCTGGATAATGTCATGCCATTGTTTTATGCAAAAATATGTTTTCCAAATTATTTACTTGTTGTTTTTTTCTGAATCTGGTACAGGTAAATTGGGGTATGTTATGGTTTAGAAACATAAGAATTCTGCTTATGACTAGATTGCTACTCCATCATCACTTCTGATGGCGGGAAGTAGCTCATATAGCTGGGAAAATAACAAGAAATCTCACAGGGAGCTGCCAGGAGAAATCTCCTTCTAAAAAAAATTTCTAAAAATTATGTCACCAACAGCAGTTGGCTTGTGTTCTTTACACTATAGGATTTACATCCCCTACAAAACATACCATTTAACCTAAGTATTCTTAACCACATACCTGCTATTCATTAGGTAGGTATTAGCAGGTATCACTGTATTTATCGGTTATGTCAGATATGTCCCAAACCCTATGCTGACTGAAATATATAACATGCAAAGACCAAATTAAGTAGATCACTGCGGCGTATGTATGCCTAAGTACACATATACACTGGGAACAGATAATGTTGCTTGTTATTTCACAGAAGATGGCGAGGGCCACTAGAGGGCTATCTAAAACAATACTTCTGCAAGTTTTCAAACCACCAAGTTACCGCTTGGAAATTTCTTGCCAACTGCAATTATACTTCCCATCAAACACTGTAATTGAAAAATGCTGTAAAGAACATATTTCAGGGCCACTTTCATGGCCTAAGGAAAGTGTTCAGAAACTACTGATCTGAAAGGATGCTACGCAGAGCCAATGTGCCACAAAGATCTCAGAGAGCTGAACAGAAATTTTCCACCATAAAATTCCAGTTCGGCAGAAAGCAAATAGCTTCCCACAGATCCCTGGTTGCTTTTCTTCTTTCAGCACATCAGACAGAATCCCACCAAGTCCTTGGCAGCCCAAGTTCAAGGGCTTCCCCTTTGTCAGCAGCCTGCCTGGGGGACACTACCGAACCAGGGCCATGGCTCGGCTGCACTGCAGGTGGCCGGATGGCTTCTCGGGATACCTGTTGTGAGGGAATCAATGGCAGCTCCTCAGAAAATTCTCAAAAACCTAAATTTCATTCTTCTCTGAAGTGAAATTTTGTATTTCCATTCTGCAAGCAATGCTACGTTTCCAACATTTTGGTTTGAGCTGCGATTCTGTTTTAGTGTAGCAGAAAACACAAAAGTGTTTCCTACAGTTTTCTCTACTCAGCTAAATATTTTCTTTTTTGTTTCCTATGGTTTTACTTGTACCATGGCGTAATCTATTTAAACCAACAAGAAGCTAGCCGTATGTTCAGTGACAAAGGTATCTCTTCCTATTACCTCTAAAGCAGTTGACCAGAAAAGGATGGAGTGCTAATACTGAGGAGTTCTCCCTTCTACAGGGACTGGCTGTTACAAATGACCAGACGAAAGGGACTGAAAAGATAGGGGGAAAAAAATCATCAATCTGAAAAAATAAGCATTAGTTTTAAGTTTTACCCTGGCAGGGTAGATGGGTCAAACTCTTATAGTTAAAAAAGATTAAAATGTGTTTCAGTTTACGTGCAAAAGAAGCAACATAGATTTTTAAACATGGTAATAGAGTCGGGTGAGTTATTTATTTATTTTTAATGGTTAATTCCCCAGCAAATGTGGTTTCAGTCATCTCTAAAATATTTGCTTCAAATTTGCTGAATAGTTTTGGCTGGGAGAAAAGAAAAAAAAAGGAGGGGGTAAACTCTGGCAGAGGAAAGTCTCTTGTTACCCAATAGCTCAAAGATTGGAGCATTTACTTAGGTAGCAGAGACCCCTTTCCACCGGTGTATTTTGAGGCAGGGATGCTCCATCCTTCCTTTTTGCTCTTTGACTAGGTGC